TTTTTTTTGGTTACGTGGTATAGTTTTGATTGTCGCCTATAAATATGCCGTTTCTCTTTTGCCTCTTTAGCCAGCTTTCCCTGACGATCCGCTTAGGTGAAACTTGGGTAGGTTTGTCTGGCCACTAGGTTTGACTATATATATATATATTTTTTTTTTTTAAGCATTTCACCCCCATAGCAAGGCAAAACCACTAGGACGCAAGGGGTTACAGAAAATAGGAAGATCAGATAGGAGTGATAGAAGAAAGGATGAGGGTAGTAGATAGATTAAGGCAACTGGAGATGTCGATTGACATTACACTTGAATAGCTGGAGATTATAACTCTCAGGGAAACAGGAGAAGGGAAGAGAATTTTAAATCGAGAGGTGCGAGACATGAAGCTATTAGAGTTTAGAGACTTTACATTTATGAGTTTCGACAGCGAAGGGGTGAGAGCGGGATGCCAGCCTCGTAGGGCGCTTGAACTCATGAAGTTTATGTATATATTGTAGCTGTAAGTTAAATTTCTAATTCCGACATGAACTCAGTCTATTACTGGGGTTGAATAAGACCGAGAAATTTCGTCGAATGAAATAGGCCGATTCCCTATATGATGTAATTTGGGATTTTGTACTAAATATTTGCTCTGTAACAATAAATCATTTTTGTGGATCAGTTTTAATATTTTATATCATTAGGATTCACTTGGATTATATACCAACAGATTTATTACTTGTACTTGGACACACACACACACAATATATATATATAGTTATATATATATATATATATATATATATATATATATATAAAAATAGGTAATAAATATATATATATATATATATATATATATATATATAAAAGATTATATACCAACAGATTTATTACCTGTACTATATATATATATATATATATATATATATATATATATATATATATATGAAGAAATATAGTTTTAAGGTGTGCTATATATTTATGGAATAAAGTGCTCAATAACAGAGATAGAGTGTATGTAAATATAAATATAAATGTGTGTGTGCGTGCGCGTGTGTGTGTATAAACATCACTCTACAACGATGAATTGAGTTCTCCGAGCCACTGGCGTATTTCGCACAGAGAAAACCGTTAAGATTCACTTCCTTCCTTTCTGCCGTGCAATGATGGCCTAGGGGTAAGATATCTGACTGATGTCAAATCAATCGCGTTTCGATCCCAGTTTCAAGCAATCGGGCGTCTACCCAAACTGAGGAGATGTGATACAACGAAACAGTCTGTCTGTAGATGACTATATATATATATATATATATATATATATATATATATAAATATTGGATAATGTGTTGTGTAAATTGACCCCAAATGAAAATAACACTGTCATCTCATTTTAACAGACCAAAAAGTACACAAAAATATCTCGAAATACTAAAGAGTAGATTGATTCAATAAAATATATACTCTTTGGCTCAAGTTACCGGATCTAACCAATGCCTTTATCCACTGGACCATTTATCCGGAGTTGTGAGTTGTTCTGGCTACAGCAGAGGTGAAAAAAAATTGGAGAGTTGAGTTAAAGGGAGACATCCGGAAGAGACAACCACGTGGAACTAGAACAATCTTTGGGTGGACGAAATAAAGGGTTCACGTCGAAATTCCAATCACTTGAAGACCGGAGCGTACAACGGCCGAAACGAAATGAAGATGAGGATAACAGTCCGAATAATTTAAATAATGTATGTGTAAAAATTGTCCAAAATTTTGCATACCCGAACGCTTTCGGCTATTCTTTCAGCCATAATCAAGGACGATTCTTATTTCTTTTATTTTTAACTTAATGTGCAGGGTATTTGATGTATGTATTTGAAGTTATAGGAATGTTTATTTCCCAAACACGGTCAGCACATTGTGGCCGTATTAATAGTTAATACTATTAAGTTATGTTTTTTTTATTCTTTTTCATTATTAGTGGCTCCATTATTTTTAATATTTTTTTAGGTGCGAGTGAAGCTATTATATTTATATTTTCTACTCGTATGTTGCGGATGTAATTTGGTAGGTTTCTGTGTGTTTTATATGAATCCTAATTGAGCTATGGTCAGATAAGAGTGGCTTTTAGACAGTTTATATACACTTTGTGTCCAGAAATGAAAACACTAAACATTAAATAAAAAGCTTAATCGAAAAGCCTTGTCAGTCGACTTTAATGAAAGATTTTGCAAAGGTGGGTGTTCATCTTTTGGTCTTTGCCTTTTTTTCTTTCTTTATCCGGGATTTTCATCTGTGGGTCACACTAACATTGTTGTTTTCTTTTTAGTAATATATATATAGAGAGAGATAGATAGATAGATAGATAGATAGATAGATAGATAGATAGATAATATTAGTGGTAAATATACATACATATGCAATATATATATATATATATATATATATATATATATATAATTATGTGTGTATTTATCTTGATATGGGAGGTATCTATTATTTTAACGTTTACAGCCGATGTATTCTTCGGTCATCAAACTAAACTATGCGGATTCGGTTATTTGGGACCGCACTTCACCCTGCACTGAAGCACTTGAACAAATAACAGGGCCACGCCCGTCAAGTTTTGCAGTTAGTACAACTTTTTTTTTCCTCTTGACATATTGAGTGCTTTTCGTATTTAAGACGAGTTGAATTTGTCTGATCTTCTAAAATTAAATTTATTTATTATGTTAAATATTGATGAGAATAGATAGATAGATAGATAGATAGATAGATAGATAGATAGATAGATAGATAGATAGATAGATAGATAATGAACAGACGGGAATAGATAGATAGATAGATAGATAGATAGATAGATAGATAGATAGATAGATAGATAAATAATGAACAGACTGCAAAAGATAGATAGATAGATAGATAGATAGATAGATAGATAGATAGATTTCTGACTTTCTCATGCAACAACAAAAATAAAAGATTTTTACTTGAGAGAATTAAAAGTGTTTTGAGAAAGGCAAAATATCTTCGTTTCGCATTTGATGAGAGTGACGTTTCCCAGTCATTCTTATCTCTACAGTTTCTTATCTCCAGGTGGAATAACCAAAAAGACGGCACATGGGAAAAGTTTTTCCCGGCTTATTTTCATGAAGTCAATTCCTGTTCTTTACGCATGCGTGCTTCGACCCACGGGAGGAAAACTTTCTTTAATAGATTCTTTTTGTTTTAATTCGCAGTAGTTTTCTATTCAGTGAACTTCTTTTTTTCTTTTCGGTCGTTTTGCCTTTTTCTTTTTTTGGAAAATTTATATCGGTCACAGAATTCATTGATTTCTTTTTTTTATTTTAGCGTTTCATTCGCTTAATTTTATGTACAGTATTTTCAGAATAGCTAACGTGATTAAAGCGTGTATTTCTCTTGCGTTGCCGCAAATCATTTTATCATCTGCAATCTTGAAATCTTTCTTTTACTATTAATATTGCTCGTACTGCTGTCCTCATCTTTATTGTCATAATTGCAACGTTTCAGTCGTTTTACGCTCCGCCCTTCTTCAGGGCAAATACGCTGGAATTTCGAACCGAACCCCTTATTTCATCCACCAGGGTAGATTGTTCTAGTTCCACGTTCCGTGCCTTCTCTGGATATCTCAGTTTCAGTTATCTCCCTTTAGTAACTCAACTCCCCAAGTTTTTGTTCACCTCTGCTGTGGACAGATATTGAACTCAAAACTCTTTGGGTCAAGTCACTAGATTACTTCAATCAACGCTTTTATTCATTGGACCATGTATCCATAGGGACGTAGATCACCTGAAGAAGGCCGAAGCACACAACAGTCGAAACGATCTAACACTTTCGCCCCGGCCCTTCAACCTCCGGCGTCTTACTCTCGGGGTTGAGGTGTCTACTCGGTCCTAACCGAACTTAAGGGAGTGGCCATAGGTCCCCTGAGTATCTGTAGATTATTCGACCGGTCCACTGGTTTAATCCTGCTTCCTGCCCACGTTGTGATTTATTTGATCCAGAAAGCAGAAGTGATGTCCGTCCATTCACGGTCGACTGAAGATGTAGACACGGCTGGGGAGTCTGCGCTAAGAAATTTAGAATGCAGCAACAAAAAAAAAATTAATATCTGCAGAAAGCCGGACAAACAACTATTCAATGGTTGAATTGTTAATGTCTTTTATATAGCAGAAAAGAATAGTAGAGAAAAGAAATGGGTTACAGAAAAGAAAAGTAATTGACGTAAAGAGGATTCTAGACAGAGAGGGTATGTGATTAACTTGTTGATATATGACTCTTGCGATGGAGGGATAACGATTTCTGTGCGGAGCTTAAAGTTATAGTGGCTTTCCTCCTCCCAACGCTTGCCCGGGCCAATTCTCTCTTTTCTCTTCAACCAAAATCATGTGAATACCAATGTTCTTTGTAGCTTACTCAGCTCTATTTCAATTTTTAATTGATAAAAATCATTTCGACCGTTTCCATTGTCTACTGATGACCCAGATTCAATGGGTACAACTTCTGCCCTAGATCAGGTTTCACCATCAGTAAACAAAATGCTCTGATTTAATTTAGCTATTTAAATCTACTTCAATTTCACTAAAAAAATATATACGTGTGTGTTTCCCAAACTCTCTCTCACTGTCACAACGATGAGGACAACAGTTCAAACAATGTAAATAGTTACAATCTCAGAAATATAGTCAGATGATTTCTTTTAGAATATTCTTTTTCATTCTGCTTTTCCCTTGACCATTTCTTTAAAATCCATTTCTGCATCTCTGTGTTTGATTTCATTGATTGACTTTGCGTGTTATTTAAAGCCAGAAAATATTTTTAAATTGCAGTAATTCATTTTGCAAAAAATATTATTATTAACATTTACTCATACAAGTCCTGCTATTTAACCCATAGCTGAGGGAAGATATTTGCACGTAAATGAATATAACGAGCAGGCCCGACCGGAAATAGAACTCAGTACACCGATTTTCAATTCCGTGCTGTTATCTAATTCACCGCCCGCACATCCAATCTTACAGCAACTGGTATTCCCAATCGGTCACACATCTAGGTACTGACCATGCTTGACATTGCTTAACTTCGGTGATCATACTGGAATCGGTGACAAGGTCGTAAGCCTTGTATATACCTGATTACTTTGGATGTGCAGATTGTGTAATTGTTATTGGCGCGCAAATTAAAATGGATCCCTTCCAGATTAATCTATAGCGACCAATTTCTAACTAATGCCCTCAGGAGTGGCAGGAATCTATATCTTTGCTCACTCTAGCTAAGGTGGTAAGTTGCTGAGGAGTCTAGACTAGAGATTCTCAACTTGGTCCAGGTGGACCACAGATGATCCACATAGCTTTTCTACAGGTCCATACACCATTCATAGCCATTTCACAAAAAATCTATCTAAAATATCCATACTCTAAAGAATTAAAAAAATATATTTTGTTTAAATTACACACATCTCCATTATATTTGAAAATTTCAAAATTACATAGGTATTAGGCTTTTTGGCTGTTGGAGATATTTTCAGTAGAAAACAAAATAAATTATATTTCAACAGCAGAGGAACTATCAGACTAAGACTGAAAATTGATTATGCTATCTTGTGTGAGAAACACTAAGATCAAGGTAGTCACTAGCTGAATGGACTAAGACTGAATGACATCATCAAAATAGATTATGATATCTTGTGTGAGAAATACTAAGATCAAGGTAGTCACTAGCTGAATGGACTAAGACTGAATGACATCACCAAAATAGATTATGATATCTTGTGTGAGAAATACTAAGATCAAGGTAGTCACTAGCTGAATGGACTAAGACTGAATGACATCATCAAAATTGATTATGATATCTTGTGTGAGAAATACTAAGATCAAGATAGTCACTAGCTGAATGGACTACGACTGAATGACATCATCAAAATTGATTATGATATCTTGTGTGAAAAATACTAAGATCAAAGGTAGTCACTAAGCTGAATGGACTAAGACTGAATGACATCATCAAAATAGATTATGATATCTTGTGTGAGAAATACTAAGATCAAGGTAGTCACTAGCTGAATGGACTAAGACTGAATGACATCACCAAAATTGATTATGATATCTTGTGTCAGAAATACCAAGATCAAGGTAGTCACTAGCTGAATGGACTAAGACTGAATGACATCATCAAAATTGATTATGATATCTTGTGTGAGAAACACTAAGATCAAGATAGTCACTAGCTGAATGGACTACGACTGAATGACATCATCAAAATTGATTATGATATCCTGTGTGAGAAAAACTAAGATCAAGGTAGTCACTAGCTGAATGGACTAAGACTGAATGACATCATCAAAATTGATTATGATATCTTGTGTGAGAAATACTAAGATCAAGGTAGTCACTAGCTGAATGGACTAAGACTGAATGACATCATCAAAATTGATTATGATATCTTGTGTGAGAAATACTAAGATCAAGGTAGTCACTAGCTGAATGGACTAAGACTGAATGACATCATCAAAATTGATTATGATATCTTGTGTGAGAAACAACAAAATCAAGGTAGTCACTAGCTGAATGAACTAAGACTGAATGACATCATCAAAATTGATTATGATATCTTCTGTGAGAAACAACAAGATCAAGGTAGTCACTAGCTGAATGGACTAAGACTGAATGACATCATCAAAAATGATTATAATATCTTGTATGAGAAACAACAAGATCAAGGTAGTCACTAGCTGAATGGACTAAGACTGAATGACATCATCAAAATTGATTATGATATCTTTAATTGAGAAACAACAAGATCAAAAAAGTCACTAGCTGAATGGACTAAGACTGAATGACATCATCAAAATTGATTATGAATCTTCTGTCTGAAACACCAAGATCAAACAAAAAGTCACTAGCTGAATGGACTAAGACTGAATGACATCATCAAATTTTTATTATGCTATCTTCTGTCTATTTTACAAGATCAAGGTAGTCACTAGCTGAATGGACTAAGACTGAATGACATCATCAAAATTGATTATGCTATCTTCTGTGAGAAACACCAAGATCAAGGTAGTCACTAGCTGAATGGACTAAGACTGAATGACATCATCAAATTTGATTATGCTATCTTCTGTGAGAAACAACAAGATCAAGGTAGTCACTAGCTGAATGGACTAAGACTGAATGACATCATCAAATTTGATTATGCTATCTTCTGTGAGAAACACCAAGATCAAAGTAGTCACTAGCTGAATGGACTAAGACTGATTGACATCATCAAAATTGATTATGATATTATGTGTGACAAATACTAAGATCAAGGTAGTCACTAGCTGAATGGACTAAGACTGAATGACATCATCAAAATTGATTATGATATCCTGTGTGAGAAATACTAAGATCAAGTAGTCACTAGCTGAATGGACTAAGGCTGAATGACATCATCAAAATTGATTATGATATCCTGTATGAGAAATACTAAGATCAAGTAGTCACTAGCTGAATGGACTAAGACTGAATGACATCATCAAAATTAATTATGATATCTTGTGTGAGAAACACCAAGATCAAGGTAGACACTAGCTGAATGGACTAAGACTAATTAACATCATCAAAACTTATTTTGATAGCCTGTGTTTATGCATGTTTAGTAAAATAAATTTCAAAGTGTAAATAGACTACTTTTTCTTTTCATTCTGTATTTTAGTGTGGAAATTGAACAGTCTAAAAGTAAAAGTAGTAAAACACATTTGAATTTTTTGAAAAAGAAAATGTTCCATGGACTGAAAATGTTTTAGAAGTACTGGTCTAGACTCTATAGTCTGGTGTGGCATTCCACCTAAGGAAAGCATTACACTGAATTTATCACCGTAAAGAAGGCAATGAGAAACCGCACCCACTATTTTGCCAAAAACGTGATGGCAATTCCCAGATTATCAAAAAGAGGAATCCGTGGAAGAGCCATAATCGGCTACCCCCCTAAAGGAATATGTCATTAAAAAATGGATTTTGTTTTCGACGTTCTGTCTCCGATTTGTTTTTCTTCTTTTTTTAAACTTTATTATTTCTTCTGCATAACCAACCTAGGTTTATTAAGAGCTACAAAGAACAGGAAATTGTGTTATAAATTAACTGATTTAAAAAATATGTTTTTACGCTACACAGTAAAAATGGTTGTTTCAAAAACTGAAGCTAAAAATTTCAAATTTAATTATATAATTAAATTAAAAACATTTGTTCCGTTTCATCTTCAAGCGAATATTGGAATAACTTATTTTTAAATTTACTTTTAGTTTTAAACGCACATATAAATTCATAAAACCTGTTTCCAAGGATACAAAGAAATCCAATCATTCAGACAAAAAAAAAATCAATATATATATATATATATATATATATATATATATATATATATATATATATATATATATATATATATATATATATATATATATATATATATAAATATATAACAGCAAAATTGTCCAAATCATGTAGTAGCATGGGATAATTTTTTCATCCCATATAATGTTTACTATCTAAAAAAATACTAAATTAAAAAATATGTCTTTTGTCTCTAGGTGTTAAGATAATTTTAATTTAATCATCATGACACCATTTGTCGTAAGAATCACTGAAAAACCCTTTGAGTTATTTAGCTAGAAAGAGAACAGGTTAAAATCGTTTTGTGTCAGTCCCACGATGTCTTCCCAACTAAGCAATAGTGAGAGAAAAAAGATCACTCAGGTCTTCAGTAATGGTACCAAACTTCATAGTCTGGCTTCCATCGTCAAAGTTCATGAACTTTCAATCCTTCATGAACTTCCGATATTTACCTATGATTAATTAATGATGAACATGTCATTTTCGTTTATGATCGATTTCATCACGATTCTTCTGTTAAGCTTAGAGAGTAATTATACATTCTTATTACTCAAAGTAGTGTCCAATAATGATATAAAGACCTCGGAGAATTCCAGTAAGATATCTTTAATCATTTCTAAGATACAACGGTTCAAATCTTAATCTAACAAATGGACAATTTTGCTGTTATAAGATTTGGACAATTTTTGATAGATAGATTTTCGCCAGAATTTTCTAGATGCTGACATAGAGTGTATATATATATATATATATATATATATATATATATATATATATATATAAATATAAAAAGAACATAGATAGATAGATAGTATAATTGTAACATTCATGTCAAAATTGACGCTTTCTAAGCATGATCTAAACTGTGTGAATTTGACAAAACACGAAGAATAAACGATGTTGGATAAAACGTTTTTATTTTTATTTTTTTATTTTATTTTTTGCAGCCGTCTGGAGACGCTTTATAAAGATAAGTTGAATAAATCTGAAGATATATTATCAATGCAAGTTCCTGATTTGGTAATAAACCCATTTTTTTAAAAAATCGATTATATTGCCGACACTGCGATTGAAAAAGAACTTATCGAATTGCAGAAAGATATCAAATAAAAATCTAAAGACTCTTTTGGTTGCAACGAGAAATTACGACTCATTATCACACTCTATGGACAATTGTGTAAAGATGGCGGCTATCATTTCCACCATCGCAGTTGGCAAGACGTGATTTCTTCGTCTTTTAACTAAAGACAGATAAATGGGTTATACTTCTTGAAAATGGAAATCCATGCTTGCTACTCACAAACATAGATATCTGTGCACCGATGAATCTTCACCAGACTTATACTTTTCATGTTAATTCTCTACCCACTTTTACGCTAATATTACCTTTTTATTATATAAGTAGCAGGATTCGTCCGCTCGCTATCTGGTAATTTTTCTAGGAAAAATTAGTTGCTTTTCTGTGGGATTAATTTTCACTATTTACAAAATGTTGAAGGGGTTGTGGATGTTCAATATATTTGTTCAAAGAATATGACTGTAAAGACAGAAGAAATTAATTTGTCGGTGTACCGGCAGGCTTGTTATAGTTAACGAAAGTTTTACAAATAGATGCCAACTTGTTTAAGGCCAAGTAAAATGCGAATTTCAAACACTTTGCTGCACTATATAAGACAATATTTTTAAACAGAACTATTTTGAAACAATCTTCGAATACAAGAACAGTAATGAAGG